AAAGGGTATGTACGTGAAAGTTTGAGTCCTTGTTCTGTTCCAGTTATTCTTGTACCTAAGAAAGATGGTTCTTGGCGTATGTGTGTTGATTGTAGGGCTATAAACAAGATAACTATAAAGTATAGGCATCCAATTCCCAGATTAGATGATATGCTTGATGAATTGCATGGATGTAGTCTTTTTACTAAGATTGATTTAAAATCGGGTTATCATCAAATTCGCATGCATATTGGGGATGAGTGGAAAACAGCTTTTAAAACCAAGTATGGTCTTTATGAATGGTTGGTTATGCCTTTTGGATTAACTAATGCACCTAGTACATTCATGAGACTAATGAATCATGTCTTACGAGAATACTTAGGTAAGTTTGTGGTTGTTTATTTTGATGACATCCTTGTTTACTCTAAATCTTTAGATGATCATATTACCCATGTACGCAATGTTTTGACTACTTTAAGAAACGAATGTTTGTACGTAAATTTAAAGAAATGTAGCTTTTGCATGGAAAAAGTTAACTTTCTTGGGTTTGTAGTTTCATCTAATGGTGTTGAGGTTGATGAGGAGAAAGTGAAGGCTATAAAAGATTGGCCTACTCCGAAAAATGTAAGTGAGGTAAGAAGTTTTCATGGTCTTGCAAGTTTCTACCGTAGGTTCATTAAAAATTTTAGTACAATTGCTTCACCCTTGAATGAACTTGTTAAGAAAAATGTATCCTTTATATGGGAAAAAGATCAAGAACTTGCTTTTAATACTTTGAAAGAAAAATTGAGTTCTGCTCCCTTGCTTGCATTACCTAATTTTGAGTCTACTTTTGAAATTGAATGTGATGCTAGTGGAGTAGGGATAGGTGCTGTATTGATGCAAAATCAAAGACCTTTAATGTTCTTTAGTGAGAAGTTGACTGGTGCATCTTTGAGGTATCCAACTTATGACAAAGAGCTTTATGCTTTGGTTCGTGCATTGCAAACCTGGCAACATTATCTTTGGCCTAAGGAGTTCATTATTCATACGGATCATGAAAGTTTAAAGCATTTGAGAGTACAAAATAAACTCAACCGACGACATGCTAAGTGGTTAGAATTTATTGAAACATTCCCGTATGTCATAAAATATAAACAAGGAAAGGAGAACATTGTAGCAGATGCTTTATCACGAAGGTATGTCCTCCTCAATACTTTGAATGCTAGGTTGTTGGGTTTTGAACACATAAAGGATTTGTATCAACATGACATGTTCTTTGCTCCTTTTGTTGAATCTTGTGAAAAAGGACTCATTGTGGATAATTACTTGTTGTTAGATGGATTTTTGTTCCGAAAAGGCAAACTTTGCATACCATCTTGTTCCATCCGTGAGCTACTTGTGAGGGAAGCTCATGGAGGTGGTTTAATGGCACACCATGGAGTTTCTAAAACTTATGATATGCTCTCTGAACATTTTTTTTGGCCTAAAATGAGACATGATGTTCATAAAGTTTGTGGTCGTTGCATAGCATGTAAACAAGCTAAGTCTAGGCTTCAACCACATGGTTTATACTCCCCATTACCAGTTCCTAATGGTCCATGGATTGATATATCAATGGATTTTGTTTTAGGTTTACCTAGGACTAGGAAAGGTTATGATAGCATTTTTGTTGTGGTTGATCGATTTAGTAAAATGGCTCATTTTATTCCTTGTCACAAAACTGATGATGCAAAACATATTGCAGACCTGTTCTTTAGGGAAGTTGTACGATTGCATGGCATTCCTAAAAGCATCGTTAGTGATCGTGATGTAAAATTTTTAAGCCACTTTTGGCGTGTTTTATGGGGTAAGTTAGGAACTAAGCTAGTATATTCAACTACTTGTCATCCTCAAACGGATGGACAAACTGAAGTTGTTAACAGAACCATGACTGCTATGCTTAGGGCTATTATTGATAAGAATCTTAAGACTTGGGAGGATTGTTTGCCATTTATAGAATTTGCATATAATAGGGCTGTTCATAGCACTACTAAATGCACACCTTTTGAAATTGTTTATGGCTTTAATCCTTTAACCCCTATTGACTTGTTACCCATACCGTCAAAAGAGTTTGTGAATTTTGATGCAAATGCCAAGGTTGAGTTTGTTCATAAACTGCACAAGCAAGTGAAAGAACAAATTGAGAAACAAAATTCCAAGGTTGCCACCCGAATTAATAAAGGACGTAAGATTGTCATCTTCAAGCCAGGAGATTGGGTTTGGGTGCATTTCCGAAAAGAAAGATTTCCTACTCAAAGAAAATCTAAGCTTTTACCACGAGGAGATGGACCTTTTCAAGTTCTTGAGCGCATCAACGACAATGCTTATAAAATTGATTTACCAGGTAAGTACGGTGTTAGTGCAACTTTTAATGTTGTTGATTTGAGCCCTTTTGATGTAGGTGATGGCTTGGATTCGAGGACGAATCCTTCTCAAGAGGGGGAGAATGATATGAACCACGACCAAGGAATTTCCATACCTCAAGGTCCAATTACAAGGACGAGAGCCAAGAAGCTACAACAAACTTTATACAGTTATATTCAAGCTATGGTGAGCTCATCAAAGGAAATTCTAGAAGACGCTGGAGATCTCCCTTATATGTTGTGCAAAGTTGAGGTTCAAGAAAGAGATGAATTAAATGCACTTTAAGTTGCATTTAATGAACTCCGCTGAATTTATCAAATAGTCCAAGGATGACTAATAAGCACATTTTATTATTTGCATTATTTAATTATAGTTTAACTATTTGTTTGTCATATTTAAACTAGTTTTAAATATAGGAGTTAAGGTTATATTGTAACCCACATAGGTTACTATATTCCACCATTAACTAGCCATTTAAATATGGAGGTTATGGGTATTTCTCATTACTAGCCCATTTAATTTGGGAGTTATGTATGACATAGGTTAAGGTTGTAAAGGCTATATAAAGCCTTCTTTTCTTTGATTAGACATCAGATTTTGGAATTAAGAATAGAATTTCTATTTTAGCTTTGTTAAGAGCTAAACTTTCTTTGCAAATTCTTGTGTTTAGAACTTGCATGTAGAGTCATTCAAGTGGTATTGATCAAACCTCTTGTGGAGTGATTCGAATCACGAGTTTAGAAACGAGTTTTCTTTACTCTTGATCTTGATCATCAAGGTAATCCGTTCCATACTTTCCCTTGGGTTGATTTCCATATCACAGTTTTTGTCATTCACCACACCGTTTAAGTTATTATATTTATCCTACGAGTAATTGTCTTAGTTTGGAGACTCATTCATATAAATAAATACTTATTAACAAATACGAACAAGTTAATTATAAAATATATGAAAACAAAGCGATCATTGAGGCATTTAAGAGTATTCATAAATAAGAGTATTCATCAAGTAAAGTAAAGAGTGTTAAAGAAAACGAAGGGAGTTTTGCATGATAGCAACTCACATGTAAATGGAGTTTTGTATTAGGGTTTTTCAGCTAATTCTAGATTAGTAGGGAGGGGCGCGTGGGTTTGGATTTAGAAACATGAATTTAGTTTAGAAGTAATCCTATCCCCAAACTCTGAGCTTAGAGATATTTGGGAAGTATTGAACTATCACGTCAAACCCTTGCCATAAACTCTGTATTTCGATAATGATGTGCAACAACTAGCTTTTTCTAAGAGAAATTTAGGTATGACTTGATTCTATTTGATCCATACAATATCGCGATAATCGACCTGAAGTTCAGTTTCCATTTGAAAAAGAAAATAACATGAATGAGTAAAAAAAGTATATTTAGTAACACATTTGTAGGTGAGTGAATTGTAGGATACTAGGAGATAACCCCCTTGATAACCTATTTAAGTTTTTGATTTGTAGTGATTGGTCCCAAATCTTCTAACTTATAGTTTTTCGTGTTCTAACCCTATTTGTGTTCTTATTGTTTTATCCGATCTAGCCCAATCAAGACTCTCAGCTACATAATATCATATCAATTTGTTCTTCAGAATGTATAAGCTCCTCAAAGTTCAATACAAGATTTTGAGAGCGAATTGGTTAGCTCTTTAAGAGTATTCATAAAGTAACAAGGGTTACAAAACAAACAAACAAAAAAAAAAAACAAAAACTATTAAGATATGAACTAAATACCATACGAATAGGTTTGTAGTCTATAAAAGAATAGCTCCTTTGGTAAATTATATAAGTTTTTGTTGACCCCAAATCTTTAATTTATGGTTTTCTCAGGTTCTCACCCTATTTGTCCTCAATCAAATAATGAGAAACTATGGGAGTTAGATTAGGTGATCAATAAGATCAGAACATGAAAAATAAGATTGTTTGAAGTACATATGATATGCGACTCATTTTAATTTGAACTATTAAGTATATTACGACATTGTGGAAAGTTACTGATAGATTATTGGTTCTCTGTTAGTAGGGATTAGCGGACAACTCTATAAATATAGATCTCACAACATTACACAAATCTTAAAGGGAATGACCCTCGTGCTTGCCAACTACTATGTATCTATGTGGTGAATTGCTTCATATTGACAAGTTTCCGATCTAGAAAATTTATTTGAAATAAATTTCTTACTCATTTTCACCCACGATATTATTATGAGACTGTATCAGCTGAGTCCGTTCAAGTTGAACCAATGACTTCATCGTCTTTGACCGTGGAAAGCAAGATATGCATGTTGTTGTAGCTCCAGCAATCTAGTTATTTCTCTTGTTCATGTGATTTTGACCTAGGTTCATGACAGTTCCTTCACCAAAGTTGAAGCTCTTGTTCCTACGAACACAATGCTTCAAGAATTGTACGTTATTATTCCATAAACAAGGATAAGTTTGTGTTAAATTACCTCTCATAAAAAGTAAACGTTTTAAGAGTTCCAATAATTGACGTAATTTCCATATAGAATTGTCCAATAAAATACTAAAAATGATCGAGTTTCCATGTTTGTAAATCACAAATCTGCCCATAAATACAAGCTCTACAATCACAAATGAAATAACCCAAGAGATAAATTAACTATATCATTCGTTTATCAATTTCTAAGAGATGGCCAAGTTTCGAGTTTGCTCCCCATTGTTCCTTGCTCTTCTTTTCTCATGTTTGTTCATCCGATATAGTCTATTTTAGTCTTCAAATTATTAGATATCTCTATTTTGATCTTTTTTTTTTTTTTTTTTTTTTTTTTTTTTTTTTTTTTTTTTTTTTTTTTTTTT